AACTCACTCTTGCTCATGTTCTCCACAGCCCAGCTTAGGAGTTGGCTTGTTTGGTGAGGGCATTTTTAGCTGTTGTTCTTTCTTGCTTTAGCTGTTTTAGTCCTTTCCCGAGAGCTTCCTCTGCCATTGTTGTTGGTTGCTGGTACTTGTTTTGACAGCCTCCTTGAGTTCAGGCGTTTAAACCACGTCTCCAATGCGATCTGTTTTCAACTGTCAAGTTATATATGGTTTCTAGCTTCAGCTCCTCCCCAAACTTGAAATACAGCTGGTCCTCACCAAGAAGGACACTAGGCACAGCTCTAATCCTTTTCCATTGTTATTATTTGGGATCTAGGATTGGGATTTAGGCTGAACTCAAACATTTTCTCTGTGGCTCACCCACAGGGGTGTGCTGTGTTTTAATCATTAAGACTTATTTTCAAGCCTCAGGAAAGACAGAGCATCTAACAGTCATTTGTGGCAAACAATCAGGGTGATTGTCCAGTAAACAGCATCTATTCTCCAAAAACATCCTGAGCCTTTACTTAAGAATTTAAAAGCATCCTGATGATTCAAGTCTTTCCCATGCAGAAAGTAAAAACAATATGTTTTTATGGGAACCATACAATAAATCTAGACAGTCAAGCATCATGTTATCTTATATGCATGACTGCATATAAACATGTCAAAGACATAAAGAAGAGGGAAGATTTGGAAACATTCTGATCATTCCCATAGCATCTGTATCGATAACCTCAGGTCTTCTGTGCAATAACCAGAGGTTCAGATCATAAAAACAACGCCATGGAGCTGCAGTGCTTCAACTACCAACCAGATCCAGATGTGGAGCCTGATCAGCGATGCACAGGCAGATATTTCTGGATGATCCTGAATTGGTCCACAAGCTCCAAGCAAACTTCTCTCTTAGTTTTTATTGGATTAAAACGCATACCTGTATTTCACATAAATCATATCAACACATGTTGCTTAATAGCTGATGTATTTTTTGGATTACTATTCCAAACTCTGTCAACTCTGATAAGATTCATTGGGAAAACAGAATGATATTCAGTGTAGAATAATTTAAATGTCTTCACATGAAAAATTTTCACTATGGCAAGTCTAAACACCAACTTAGGGTAATGTCTTTTTACCGGAAACCAAATTTAACTGCCCAGACACATCCTAAATGTAACCTGTAACGTCATATTTAAACTTTGCATTGCCAAGAAAATGTGTCATGTGAGCATATTTAATGTGGTAAAGACTTAGACAGATTTGTCATTTTGTTTACACAAGTGTAAAACAAAAAGAAATTTTGTTTGGAACAGCTCTCTGGACAATTTAATCTTTTTTTTTTAAATGCAGCCTTGAAAAAAAATAATAATAATAAATATATATATATATATATATATATATATATATATATATATATATATAAACAGTAATATAAACATATGACTGTAAATTTACAGTTCAAACATTAAAAAGAAAATGTATATAATAAATATAATAAAATACAATACATCCATCCCTTTTCTAACATGCTTATCCCGAGTGGGGTCGTGAGGGGTGCTGGTGCCTATCTCCAGCTGTCTACGGGCGAGAGGCGGGGTACACCCTGGATAGGTCGCCAGTCTATCGCAGAAATACATTACAATAACCCATTTTACAAAACATTTAGCAGTCTAATGGCAGTGGGGAAGAAACTGCCCCGGTGATTTTCTCTGCTGTCCTAACCACTCTTCTCCCTTCTTCCAGTCTGAGATGCTGCAGCCTCCACACCCCACAGTGAGACAGCTGGTCAGAACGCTCTCTATTGTGCTTCTGTAGAAGGTGGTGAGGATGGGTAGGCGCAGGTGGGCTCTTCTCATCCTCCTCAAGAAGCACAGGCACTTCTGTGCTCTTTTGACCAGTGAGGTGGTGTTTACAGTCCAGGTGAGGGTGTCTGTGATGTGCACCCTCAGGAATTTGGTGCTGCTGACCACCTCTACAGCTGAGCTGTAGATGACCAGTGGTTAGGCCGGTTCTTCCTGAAGTCCAAGATGATCTCCTTCGTCTTCTTCACGTTCAGGATCAGGCTGTTATCTTTGCACCAGTCCACCAGCTGCTATACCTCCTCTCTGTAGTCCAGGTCATTGTCATCACTGATGAGGCCCACCATCGTGGTGTCTTCTGCAAACTTCACAATGTGATTGGTGGTAAACCTGGGGACACAGTCATGTGTCACAGGGTGAACAGCAGGGGGCTCAGGACGCAGCCTTGAGGGGAGCCTGTGCTTAAACTGATGACATCAGAGGTGTTCTTTCCAACCTGGAGTGACTGAGGTCTGTTGATGAGGAAGTCTAGCAGCCTATTGGAGAGGGGTGTATTCAAGAACAGCTGTTCCAGTTTGCCCATCAGATGCTGTGGTATGATGGTGTTGAAAGCTGAACTGAAGTCCAGGAACAGCATCCGCATGTGGGTGTTCTTCTCCTCCAAGTGTGTCAGGCTCAGGTGGAGAGCAGCAGAGATGGCGTCCTCAGTGGAGCGGTTGGTTCAATAGGCAAACTGGAACAGGTTGAATGTTGGCGGCAGACTGGAGACGATGTGTTCTTTAAACAGCCTTTCGAAGCACTTTATTATGATTGGAGTCAGTGCGACAGGCCGCTAATCATTGAGTGAGGTTACCTGAGGCTTCTTTGGGACTAGAATAATGGTGGCCAACTTGAAGCATGCTGGCACTATGGATTGGTCCAGCAAGGTGTTAAGAATGTCTGTCAGGACACCAGCCAACTGATCTGCACACTCCTTATACACCCGCCCAGGTATGTTATCAGGCCCTGGGGCCTTCCTTGGGTTGACTCTCCTCAGAGTTTTCCTCACTTCAGCCACGTCCAGGTTTAGTGCCTCCTCCCCCTGGTGTGGAACAGCTCTCACTGCTGGAGTGCTGTTTAGTGCCTCAAGCCTTCATTTAGGAAGTCAGTGTCTGCTGCATCAACCGGGGGAGAGGGTGTGTTGTAGCCCGTGATCATTTGAATGTCTTTCCACCTCCTCTTGGTGTTGCTATCATCGTGGAAAAGATCCTGGATCTTTTTAAGTCTGCTCTTAGTGCCTCTTTATCACCAGACTTGAAAGCTGAGTTTGGTGCTTTTAGCGATTTCCTAACCTCTCCATTCATCCAGGGTTGTTGGTTGGTCCGGATGGTGATGTTCTTTTTGATGCTGACGTCCTCAATGCGTTTGTTAATGTAGGCTGACACAGTCATGGCATACTCATCAGTATTTAATGTTATTATATGTTGCTGCAGCCTTGAAGATGTTCCAGTCAGAGCATTTAAAACAGTCTTGGAGTGTCTTCATGGCGCCCTCAGACCACACTCTGATCCCTTTAACTGTTGGTTTAGCCCTGATCAGCTGGGGCTTATATGCAGGGATAAGCATGACTGAGAGATGATCTGATGACCCGAGGTGGGGGCGGGGGGCTGCTCTGAATGCTTTTTTGATGTTAGAGTAAACCAGGTCTAAAGTGTTTTCACCCTGAGTTACAAAGTCCACACGTTGGTAAAAATGAGGGAGAACAGTTTTCAGGTTAGCCTGGTTAAAATCCCCAGCAATGATGAAAACACCCTCTGTGTGTGCAGACTGGAGCTCAGAGAGAGCCTGGTGTAGAGTCTTCATGGCCTCTTTAGTGTTAGAGCTGGGGGGCAGGTAAACAGCAGTGATGCTAACCACACTGAACTCTCTGGGCAGATAGAACGGCCTGCAGTTAACAGTCAGAAACTCGATGTCTGGTGAGCAGAAGCTGGCGACTGATCTAGCATTTTTACACCAGTTGTTGTATATGTAAACCCAGAGCCCACCAGCCCGAGTATTACCGCTTGGTTCTTTGTTCCTATCTCCGCGGTATAGCGTGAGCCTCTCCAGGCTAATAGTATTGTCCGGTATTGCTGGATGCAGCCAAGACTCCGTCAGAATGATGGCGCAGGAGTTACAGATATCCTTTCTTGAAGACTGTTCCAGTCGGAGATGATCCATTTTGTTATCCAACGAGCGGACGTTGGAGAGCAGGGTTGATGGAAGCAGAGGTCTGTGGGGATTTCTCTTTAGCTTCGCAGTTAGCCCCCCTCTGCAACCTCGCTTTCTCCATCTCACACATCTCTTCCTCCAGCAGTTCCGCTGTTGTTTTGTCTACATGCGTCCGTAGCACTCTGCAGCTTTTCAAACGGTCAAAAATGTCTGGATTTAAAACATTTTCTGACCGTAGCTCCAGCAGGCGTTAGCGATCATAGATGCGGGTTTGATGTCTAGTCTATATTGTATTAAGCGGCATGTTATGTGAAAATGTTTATATATTATGTGAAAAAAAAAATGGTTTAAATAAAATCATCCCTAAAAACAGCCCTCTTTAGCCGGGTCCCTTAAATAAAATTCGGCAGAACCAATTCCCTTTAAAAGTTATTTATTTAGTAAATAGTCATGTTTGTGTAATTTCACATCATTTTGAATATACCCAATTATTTTTAGGACAGGAGTGAACCTACCCACAGAATTCGCAGCTTTAAAGGCAGGAAAAGATAATTACGCAAAGCATTAAAACTAGTCAAAGTGGTGGCAGAGAATGTGCGGTTTATCATGTTAAACTATCAACAGCCCCCCCCCCTTGTGGGGACCAGTTGTTGGTCCCCACAAGTACCTATGAGTCCCCAAAATGTAGCATATTCCTAGGAAATTGTCCCCACCAGGTATTAAAGACATGGCCACACACACACACACCCACCCGTCAAGCTGTCTAGTTTGGTGTTGTGATTGATAAATGAGGTCCTTAGTGTATAATTCAAAATAATTCAGTTACATCAGGTATGAGTCAGTAAATTCTATTGAAAAAAGAAAGCAAAGTTTAGTCATATTTCTCCTGTATTCTGATGGTGTTTCCCACTTAATGCCCGGCTGCTTATGTAATTCATCTCTCAATGCAGTGGGATGGCTCGAGTTTCTAGCTTCACCTCCATTCATTTGCTTACCATTTTCATTTTTTCCTGACTGTCTGGGAGAGAGGAGAGAGTAAACTTATCCTCTGTAAGCATGCAAAGCATCAGTGACACCATGTGCCTCCCCTTAGTTTTTCTGCTGCTGGTTCCTGTGCAAGTAAGTTGGATTTTTTTATTTTACTTATCAGTAAGTTTACAAGTTAAAACATTTTTAATGATTTACTACTATTAACTTTCTAAATATTCTAGAAGTGTTATGTGTAACACAAAAGTTTTCATTGTGATGGATTTTTTTATGCTGCATGGAGTTTCTGCAGGAAGACCTATTCTGCATGTGCCAACACATTTACTGAGATGTTTGCAATTTGATCAGATTTTTTTTCCAAAAGCTGTATTTTTGAGCATGGTGGGCAGGTACAAAATCCCCAAATCAATTGGCTTAAGCCAGAAGTCTACAGTCAAATGGGGCCCTTAAGGGCCAGCATAGCTTCCAAATAACTTTGCTGTTATTAAGGATATAAAATTAGAAAGAATTGATCGATTTTTCAAGGTATAAAACTGTTTAAAACAGCTAATTTAAAACAAATTTGTATATTTTTAGTCAATTTCACCATTGAATTTTAGCAAAAGAATTATACTGTTTTTTTTTCCTCTTTCACGGTTTTTTGGGTCAGGAACTGTCCTGTTTTTTCTTCTTCTCCTACATGTTTCACTTTAAGGCAGTATTGTTTTTTTTTGTTTGTTTTTTTTAAAGTAAGATAAATTTTTTTCTCCTATAGCTTAAATAGAAAAAAAAAAGATGTAATTGTAGAATCAACCATCCCTTTACAACGGCTGTCTGAGAGCCAATGAATAGTATCCAGAGAATGAAGCCTTTGAGAAATACACATTTATTATAGAAATACACATCTAAGTGGGATATAAGTCATTTTGGCCTTCAAGTTTATCAGCTTTTAAGTATTACATTTGCTCACCACTAGAGGAAGCTGTGTAACTACTAAATGAGATTCTTCTGGTTCCATTTACTGGATGTTTACTAATCCTAATACTAGTTTGCAGAAATGAAAAGAAACAAAATATGTATCTTATGGTTAAAGGATTTATTTGTTTCTTTATTTTTATTTCCAATTAGATGACAAACATTATGGACAATGAAAGGCCGAGGGGTAAGTTTTAAAAAAAATCTAAATGAAGAATTTGTTTGTTTTTCCACATATTATTGATATAAGGGAGTAAATTAGTTTGAACATTCTTTATAATTTCCTACACACTATATTTGTTTTAACAGTAGGTATGTTTTTGTTTCTACTCATCAAACAGTTTTAGTTGAAAAAAGCATATTTGTTGTATTCTATATTTGGAATTCACACCTTTTACACTGAACCCTTTTTATGTAGTGGTTAGAAAACTGGAGGTGCTAACAAAGGCTGAGTGCAAACCAGTTGAGAAGCTTGTGAATTTGAAGGAGAAGTTGTCTGATTACGTAAATCACATCTACGTACCTTCATGTGTCCCACTGTTTCACTGCTCTGGCTGTGCTGCTGATGAGGCTTTGGAGTGCTATCCAACAGCAGAACGCAACGTCACCATAGAGGTCAGACAAGATCAAGACTGCTTTCAATACCCATCTTGATAACAGGAAACTTTCTGCCTTTTTAATTTAACCTTGATCTTTCCCCCCGCTCATGTCTGCAGGTAGAACGGTCTCGTCAGTTAATAAACATCACCTTTGTGGAGCATCAGGCATGTGGATTTAGGTAGACTAACATTATACATTTCCTAGAAACACCTGATGCAATTCCATTGTTGTAATTATATGGCGATAATGTTACAATCTCCTTTTTAGGAAGATAGAGAAATATAAAAACAATACAACACAAGGTAAGTAAAATCAACATTTTATCTTTGGGGTCTTAGACTTAGACTAATTTATTAATCTCACCAGGGGCAATTCATTTCAGCTAGACAAACAAACAAGAATAAAAATGCAATAACATTAAAAGAATTACAAATAATGTGACGGGGAGCTTAAGGACCAACATTAATTATAAAAAACACAGAAAGATAGTAAAAAGTACTTATCTATATCTTAATTGGTCTTTGCTCTTCCAGGAGGGACAAGTGCACCAGGGACAGACGTTCAAAGGATAAAGCTCAGAAGGAAAAGAAGAAAATGTAAAAAGTCAAACTGAATTTTCTCTTCTGTTGAAGAGGTGTTTTAAAGTGCAAATTTAAAGTTGCATCTATCATTTTTTTTCTTACTCTTTGCCTGATAAGAATAAAGAAAAGATTAAATGTTATGATAAAATAGAATTGTCTACCATATTGCTTATCTCCTCTGTAGACCTTCAGTCCAAAAGGCTGCTGGTGAGCCATTTCTGGAAGGTCACAGAAAGTTTGATAGTCTAAACCAAGGAAGAAATAACTAAAAACATTTTTGCAGCAGATGATGAGATATTTCAGGGTTTTGTCCTGAGGGGTAACTTGATTTTTGCATACTTTCTGTTTTTTCTTTAGCAATCAAGCAAAGGTCCATGTGTTTTCTGTAAAGTGATTCTTTCTATTTGACATTCCTGCTGTTTGTGAGGCCAGAAAATAAACTTTTTTGTGATATCTGATTTCCATGATCCAGGAACCACATGCAGGATTTAGAAGACAGCAATCAATACAATAAGTACAACAAATTTATAATATCAGCAGCTACTAAACATAAAAAGTAAAGGATATGCCACCAGCATAAATGATGGGACTTCCCATAATATTTGGCTACATGTTCCTCTTGCAGCTTGCATTTAGTAGAGCATTCTTCAGCTTTAAAAACCTCTTCCTGTCATTGTGGCTAAGTGGTTTAATCTGCGCTTCTTCTGAGAAAACTTTTCCCAAAAAAAGACTTTTGGGTTAACTAAGTGGGTCACTGAACATTTTGGTCAAGTTATCGGAAATACAATGTGGAGAGCACTGAAAGAGAGGAACTACTTGCTCATTAGGAACTACTTTTTAAGAAAAAAACTGTAGGTAATAGATTGATTTATTCATTGATTCATTGACTTTATTGATCTCACAATGGAGAAATGTACTTATTACATCGGCTCAATGGTCAGATTGGCAAGAGTGCAGAAAAATACCAATCCTCCTTATTAGAGTATATTCAAAAGTAGCTATTAAATTACTTATTGTTTCACATTCAAACAGAATAATCACACAAAGTGACACTTTAATAAGAAGTCCTTTTGTGTGATCATTCTTATCAACAGGCTGCAAGAAAACCAGTGTAAGGGGAATAAGGCCATCCATGTTGGCCTCTAAATGATGTCGGCGTCAAGATCCTGTTTAGCTTAAATTAAAGGTATAGTGAAGGATTTTCGCGTGATTAAAAAAAAAAAGCACTTGCAAAACCCTGTGCCCGCCTATTACCGTAAACGTGTATGAGAGCGTGCACGAGCCCATTTATCTCCATGCACTCTCTGTTTAAAAATTGCTGTTTGCATTGCTCATGCAAGCTTACTTTCCAAAAGAAGATTTGCAATTTTTCCACTGTCAGCTTCACAACAAGTAAGTGAAAATGGGGATGAGCACTTAGGATGGCTTGACGTAAACATATCACCAGCATGATCGATAATTAGGAGGACCTCATATTTAGATGATCCACCCGGAAAAAGAACATTCTCCACTATACCGTTAAGTCTAAAAGAAACAAGACTGATTAAACATGCAGTGTAATATTCTCCAATGAGCAGAGCTAGTGTGTGATAAACACTCAAATAAAACATGTGTTTTCTGGTATTTTTAGCCAGCTTCATACTGTAACCATTGTTATGAAATTCTCCATTGTCAAGAAGATCAGATTGCAGCCTTTTGTTGGTAAGTGGCCTAAATAGATACTATCTGCATCTGTCTTACTATGTGGGGAACAAGAGGGAATCAGTGAAATCTTGATCGACAGCTTGCAGCACTGCCTTTAGGGTAATATGAGCTTCTCTGCTTCAAAAAGAGGAATACGGCAGCAGAGAGCGCGACATGCGTTTTTCAAATCACTTCAACTAGAAGTTGCCTATTTTGGGGTTCAGTTCACTGACAGAGTAGTGTTGCTTTCAACAGTCTGCTGGTTTGCAAGAAAGCATGTCCTCCATTCTCCTACTATATTTTTCATCTATGTTTTTGTTCGCTCTACCTAGAGTGGTTAATGTCTTGCAGTCATCAAACCAAGAAGGCATTTTTTTCTTCTGCAAAATTCCTGTTTTTATTAATTAAAGGAAATGGATCAGATTTTGATCCTGGCACTATTTGTTTTGAAACAAAGTCTGCTCAGTTTTTACCTGCTTTTATTTAAGATTTTGACAATGTACATAAATAAAATCACCTTTAATACAGAGGTATCTTGATTAAAGCAACAAGCTGTGACAGAAATTCAGTAATTGATGTATAATCAATGATGCATTCATTGTGAGTTCTGTAAATAAAATGTATGTAATGTATGTTTCTGGCTCAGTTTTGTAGTCCACTGTTACACACACTGCAAATAGTTAATTAACCCTTTATTTTTGTATGATACTGCATTTTATAGATAGTGCATACATACATATGTGGCATTTTTTTTTTTTTTGCTATTTTATGTGATACACAGAGTGGAGCTTACATGTAAAAGCTGATAGAAAGAATGCAAAAAATTTTAGACATTTATAAAAAGAGAAGATTCTTACCTGTTCAACACTTATAGGGAAAAGAAATCTTTTTTTGGCAAAATAACTCAAATTTGGTCAGAATTAGCAAGTAACTATAATCGTCAAAGACCTTCAGCATATTCTGCATAAATTTAGGTTAGATTTAGTAAAGATTTAAACTTTGAGATCAATTTTTTTGTGGATTTCAAGTCTTTTGAACCCAGCTATATTTTCTTTTTGTTTTTTCACTTTTTGTTTGTTTTTTTGGCCAGCATCATTTTATGCCATTTTGACATAAAGTGTTTGACATATAAGCTTAAACCTTTAGGTGTGGTCTTGTCCGATTGGAACCATGCCAGATGTTTGCTATGTTTGAATATACTTAATGCCTAATTACTTTCAACAGTAGTTGTCTTCCAGACTCTTATAAAATCGGATACATGGAGCACCACTCATTTTTGTCCTCTCAGCTGATTCGACCACCTGAGTTGTAGATTTCTATGAGCCTCTTTGATGTTTCGACAGAAGGCCGCTCACACTGAGCCTGGTTCTGCTGGAGGTTTCTTCCTGTTAAAAGGGAGGTTTTCCTCTCCACTGTCGCTACAAGCATGCTTAGTGTGAGGGATTGCCTTCGATCATCTGGTTTTCCTTAGATAGAAAACTTTGAATCAGTTTGACTGTATGATTTGTTAAATTGTCTCTGTAAAGAGCAGTGAGATGAGATGTGTTGTGAATTAGCACTGTATAAACAAACTGAATTGAATTGTTTCTCAGTCTACCCCTTGCTCAGTTGGACCATTTGTCCATAGGTTTACAGTTGTGCCACATTGTTCTTTTTTTATTTGTACCTGATCAATAAAACAGTGGTCTGTGAGATTCTCAAAGCTTAAAATACTGCTTTAAAACTCGCTCCTTCTTTAAACTTCTCCCTAACTTCAACCCTGACCCTTTTTTAGGCCTATAAAGAATAAAAATTATACTTAGCTTAAATTGTGATGTGAAATGTGACCAAATGTTACTAGATCAATGGGTGTAAATACTTTGGTGAAGCACTGTCGCCATGCAATTGCATTTGTCAAACATGAAAGATATTAGTCTGGTTATAAATCATCATCGACTTTGCTGCATGATTACAATAACCTTGGTAGTACTCATTAGCACGTCTTACTCTGTCCATTATCCAATTTTTATTGTTCCAAATTTGGCAACAGCCTTCCTGCAGTGGTTATGCTTCTCCCGAAAGGGTTCAGATTTTTTTCTTTACAAGTATACGTGCATCATTTAACTATAAAATAGTAAACTTATCCTCAGCATGAAGGTATGCATAAATATTAGGATAGGAGCAGCATGCATGCACGTGTTGACTTATTGTTTTTAAGGGCAGAGTAGGGCAGAGCTTTGTTTACACTGTGAATTGCTGCAGAGAAGACTAGTAGCGCTTAATTGAGCTGTGGGCCAAACATTTATGTAATACACTAGACTCTCCAACGTCACTATGCTCTATGTTGCCTGCGTTCTGCACAGTTTAGTCCTAATGGCAAGACAAACGCATAGTCCTTAACCTGCCACACACTAGGCAGCGGTCACGTTTTTCAGCTGCTGGCGGCCTTGACCAATCAGATACCAGGAATGTGGTCACATGGGAAGGGGCGGTAGACAAAACAGTGAGACGTAGGGGATACTCCTGACATGACCACGCCCCCAACTACCAAATAAGGAACGTCAGCTGAAATAACTATATAGTTTCTTTCCGCTGTGGGGTTGAGATACAGATAAAATGTGAATTAAAGTGTCGAAAACTACTAACTATTGTAAAAAAAATATAAATTTGAAGCAAATGGGACAATTAGAGAGCAAGTCTTGTCGAATGTCACCACCGTGCTCCGCATGTGAGCCTGCGGGCAGGGAGGAGGGGCGCTGGGTCCCGTGTCCTGCACCGTGGGACAGCCCCACGCAGACAGTGGAGCAGGGCGCAGCCGTTAACAACCACACAGAGGGGGAGAAAAAAAGTCAGCCGTAACCTCAACTCGAATGAAGCCTGCTTTTTATATCACCTCACCGGAACAACATCTCGATTTAAAGTAGGTGTGTTATTTTGGTTTGACCGTTTATATTTTATTTAGCTTTGGTAGAATTGAGTCCGTCTCTCATTAGCATTGCTTAGCGTTTATGCTGTTAGCTGTAGCCAAACTACAGCCTTGACAGGAAAAATAAATAATACTTTAGTTTTTTTTCCGCTTCTTTAGATAGAATAAAAAAATCACCGACACAGAGAGATAGCACTTGTTTATTTACTTATTTAAATGTGGTTTTCTGCTAGTGTTTATAGTTAACCGCTGCCAGGCCTAGCCAAACTACCGTCAACTTGTATCCAGTTCTCTACGTAGACATCGGTTTACACAAAATTACTCACATTTATAGATTAGATTAGGGTCCAGTTAATCTATCATAAACACAGCATACCCTACCTTAGGACTGCCTTTTTACATGTTGCCAAAATAACTCAAATGTGGTCAGAATTAGCAAGTAACTATACTCGTCAAAGACTTTCTGCATATTCTTAGTTTGGATTAAAGATTTAGTTAAGATTTAAACTTTGACTTGACCATTCTAAATGAATATTATCCTTTAATCTACTCAATATGTTTCCTCCTTCCCTGTAGATCAAATTTTCACGGAGTTTCAAGTCTTTTGAACCCAGATATAGTTTTTTTTTTTCTCAGTTTTTTGTTTGTTTTTGGCCAGGATCATTTTATGCCAATTTGATCTCAATGGTTGTTCAGTGTTTGCAAAGTGTTTGCCATATAAGCTTAAAAGTCAGGTGTGGTCTTGTCTTATTAGAACCATGCCAGATGTTTGCTATGTTTGAATTAACTTAATACCTAATTACTTTTCATAAAATCAGATACATGGAGCACCACTCACATTTGTCCTCTCAGCTGATTTGACCACCTGAGTTTTAGATCTCTATGAGCCTCTTGGATGTTTCGACAGATTGCCACTGACACTGAGCCTGGTTCTGCTGGAGGTTTCTTCCTGTTAAAAGGGAGGTTTTCCTTTCCACTGTCGCTATAAGTATGTTCGGTGTGAGGGATTGCCTTTGAGTCAATGCGTCGAACGCGACACTGATGTGTTATAGTTGATGAGGGCAAAAAATGGGAAACATATATATATATAATAAAATGTATTACCAAAGAAAAATCTAAGAAAATGTTCAATAAATTTGGCCTCCTTCATTCTAATACCCTTAAATTAATCCCAGAGTAAGTGGTTGTCTTCAAATATGACCTACATACTAAACCGAGTGCCTGTGTGAAGGCTTTAGATGATTGATAGAGAAATCTTCCGCCTTACACACCAAGGAAAACAGCAGAGAGGTCAGGGATACACTTGTACAGATTAAAGTAATGTTAAATTATAAAACATTTGCAATCCCAGTCTGGCCAGGCCATTATCTGAACATTTCAAGGGTATGAACTACTGCAAACATCCATCTAAACAGGGCTGGATTTCTCCATTCCCTGCATATTTAATTTGTTTCACTGCCACCAACTCATCTAAAACCTGCTGAAAACCAGACCGTTAAGAACCCAAATGTAAGCCACCTTTGACTTTAGGTTGAATTGGGGAAGCAGTGAAGATCCCTGTGATAGCACTGGGTGAGCTGCATAGTTTATATTTAGATGGTGTTGTCAGATGAGTGCAAAACTGAACTTTTTGACCTTGAAACAGGCATAAGATGTGACTGAAAAACAACACAATTCCACAGTGACACCTGAAATGACTAATGTCAATCTATGGGGATGAAGAAAGCTGGACAATTATTTGCAGACACGAGATAAGAGGTTCCAAAGCAATAGATTGGGCAAGAGCATATTGAGGTTTTAGAGTAATTCACATTCCTGGGTTGAATTCCTGACCTATCTGGGTATTTTTAAGAGTAAAATGCTGTTTGGAGGCTGTCCTTTAAATCAGACCTTTCCTGACCTAGTTTTGAAAGAAGGGGAAGCAGGTAGAGACAAACTCCTAAATGATAGGTACTTTACCTGAAGCATAAGCTGGTTTAAAAATATCAATGAAGAAGGCTTAAAAGAAAACAAAATATAATTTTTCCCATCTACTTAACAATTATGCCTTGCTTTGTTGGTCTGTCACATGAACTCCATGTAAAAGACATTGTGACTGTAAAATGGGATACGAAAACCCTTGCAGAACAGTGTAAAAACAGAGGGTAAAGTGAAGAAATCCCATGTAAACATGGAAGAAAGTATTTTTTATTTTGTTGCTAACCTGGGATTTCTACGCACCCCTTTTAAATGTTTCTGCTAATGAGCACCTGTGTAATTTGTTGTTGGTTTAAGGGGAGGGTTTATTTGTTGCTGTTTTTGTTTACAGCTGAACTAGTTTTTCTGCAAGCTTGTGGGTCCAAGGACAGCGTTAGTGAAAGGATGACAAGCACGAAGAGGAAGGCAGAGAACCTCCTGAGGGCAGCAAACCAACCTTGCATCATGAAGTGCAGAGGCTCCCAGGCGGATTCAGAAAGAGACTCTGGATTCTCAGGTTAGGTGTGACCCGTGGCGCACATTGAAGAAGAGCGTATCAGTGTTAAATGGCTGTTAACCTTTCTGTCTATCCTACAGATGCCAGCTCAGAGCATCTGAGCACAATGGACACCACGGACTCTGAAGATTCCCCCCACCCTGTTAAACAGCAGGGGGCACAGGGTGCTGGTTCAGGCCAGAAGCCCTCTCAGCTGTCTGTGGTTGGAGGCTCCTATTCCGGACTCTCTCCTATGATCATAATGAACAACGTTGTGCTGAAGCAGGTAAGATGATGAAACTTACCCTGTGAATTTGTGCAATATTTAGTGTTCTTAAAGATACCTGTTAGAGAAACATGCTTTTTTATTATTATTATTTTGCTGTTTTACTGCCAGAGATAATCGTCCTATTTGGATCATGTTTGAATCGATTTATCAACAACAATACTCAATTCCCCTTGGTAGACAATAAAGATGAGCAGTATCTAGAAAAAAAATTAGATTTTTGTGCTGATTAGATATTCTGATGATAATAATTAATGTCTAGATGAATACCTCAGGAAATTTAGAGGTGGAGAAACTGAGGATTAGTTTAAGTTATTAGTGGAATTTTTTTGGACCGCTATCCTAGATGAGTTGCTTGTCTTAAAAGACCATCAGCTTAAATTTTCATTTGATGAATTAGGAAGTAAATGAGTGAAAACAAATCAATTTGTAAAACGGTCCGTCTTATTCTATTACAGCCTGTAGAGAACCCTCCTGCTCTGAAGCCCTGGGGGTTCAGTCCAACGGTGGAGGTGGTGCAGCCAGTGGTCCCACAGCCTCAAGTGGTCTTTCTCCAGCCTGTGGTCTCCCGTCAAGGGTCATCAGCCTCCAAAGAGGCCACCTCTAAACACAGACGCTCCAAAAAGTATCTTCCAATCTTGAAGTCCTACCCAAAGATTGCCCCACATCCCGGGGACAGTGTTGGTTCTTCAGGCAGAGGAAGTGCTTCTTCGTCTTCCTCCTCTTCATCAGGATCAGAGAAATGTAACTCTTTGACCTCCAGTCTTTGGGATCAACGGCAGAGGCAGAAAGTGGAGAAATCTCTGTGCAGTAGCAGCAATAACTCTGAAGCTGCATCTCCTAGTCTTCCTGGTACCCCCAGCCCCATGTCACCCCTGCTCCATAGTAGACTTCCACTCCCTGCAGCAGAAAACAGCAGCACTGTCAGCCCTGCCAAGGGCAAGTCAGCGATCTGCAGTCAGTCCAAAAACCAGACTCTCGCCTTGGACAGCATCTCCTCTCTAGAAGGCTACTCAAGTGACGGCAGTTCTGACACAAAGAGGAAGCGCTTTTGCAACACGTACAACATCCTGAGCAAGTCTGGCCTGCTGGACATCACACTCCGCACCAAGGAGCTCCTCAGGCAGAACCAAAGCACTCAAAATGAGCTGGACCAACTGAAGAAACACACAGACTTATTCCTCCAGGCTCTTCAGACCGGAGACACCAGTGTTTGCATGAAACTGCTGAGCCACCTTCAGGAGGAGGACAGGGAGAGGGCTGCTCAGGGCAGCCTGAAAGCACTTCAGACCTAGACTGGTGTGTGGCTGTAATCCATTAGACCCACAGGACGATCGGGATGGGGGTAGGTGTGTGTAGAGGCAGATGGACTGAAAGTAATGCGCTCTACATTACTGACCCCTCCCCCAGACTCTCAGACAGACAGCACACTGTGGCCTACATTTTAGCAGTCATTTGCCTTTGGTCCCTTCCTGACACTCCAAGCTGACCTAAAAACATCAACCTTCTTGTTGCACTCTAGTCATACAATGCTCTTTCTAAACACTGTAAATGGATCATTGTTTACCATGAAATGGAAGAGAGTAGCTGAAATTGACCTAGAACCTACCTAGGCCATTAAGGGAAAAACATTCTGGCTCCTGCAGTGAAAACGCACCTTTAGAGGCAAAATTAGGCCAGATATCCAATTCTAAGTGGAAAACAGAATAATTTAATCTTAATGTGTGCCTGCTAGACTGACAGCAGGCCATCCGGTTGGATCGTTTTGGTTTTCCACGCATTGTTCCATTGGTATGTTTTACTGACGGTTTAACATGCGGTTCATTCCAAAGCTGTAAAAATGGTTGGATCATAGAGATGACATCATGCCATGTTAAAAAACATTCAGAGCATATGTCTATTTTTCATGGGTTTGTATTTGCAGGATGTATTTGGTTCATATTTAGTTGTTTTTGAATTTGTTCTCTCAGGTTATTTGTTGATACTCATTTTCATACTGGCTGGAAAGAAAAGCCCCTATCAACCAATCAGACGACGCCCTGATACAAGTTCTCTCTGAATAGGGCTTCTAGGAGTGAAAGAATGATTAGTGGTCAACTCTGAATGTTTTCTTGCCCTTTGTCAGCGTTGTTGTTTTGAACTGTGCAGGTAAAATGGAAGTTGTCTGCTTTTACTTGCAAAGGTTTTCTCTTGCATTTTTATTTGTATTTGTCAAATGTCTGTATTGAAATGTTTTTTATATTAAGGCAGCTACTGATAATAAAAAAACAGTAGTTCTAGAGTCTCTTAAATCCAGTTTTTTTATGCTTAAAATTTGGATATTTTTTGTTTATTCATAGATCATGGCCTTAAAACTCTAAGTATGTTCATGCTAAATAAAAAAAATTGCACTAAAATCTAAAAAAAAAAAAAAAACCTTTATTTGCGTCAGATTTTTTTGGCAGCTGTGGTACTGTAGTAGCTTTTTCAAGATGGCTATAATGTAATTTTTTTTAACACTGGTTGAATCACTAGACACGTATATATTAAAATCACGCACCCACTGCAGCCTAAACACATAGGTGACTTATTTTTAATGATATTGTGATCAACTCTTTTACATGTTCTAGCTGATGGCTCCTCATTTGCTGTAAGGATTTCTGAAACAAGCTGTGGTTAAAATAGTCCAAATGTAACATCGCCTGAAAAGGCTTTCTGTAAAAAGGAAGATCCTCTTTAATGAGGAGTGTGGAAAAAATAATTTCTCAGAAATAAATGTAAATTTTCATGTAAAGTACATTTTGTTTCATGTTATCAGAGGTTTTTCCAATGGTTATTTTCTAATTTATTCTATAGACATGTCAGCTGTGTTCTCCACAGTAAATGTATGAGACACAGTTCACTGTTTCTAAATAAATATGATGAAATTGATCACTTGTTACCATTTCAGTTGAAAAAAAATATTGAGCAAACGGGTACTTTGCTGTCAGAGGTCATTATCCATTCCCTACATTGTCTCTCACTGCACCATATCTACCAATAGCAGACCAGTTTCGTATACACTGTATATCTAATGTGTTATTTTTTTTGGGCTGTCCCAAAGTTAAAACTCCTAATAAACAATAATTTCTTGATAAGCTAATATCATTTGAATCTTCCGAGTTAAAGGGTTTTAAATAGCCTTTTAATTTTCCTTTAATTCAATTGATTCTGATTTCCTTTTTAAATGCACTCTTGCAGCCGGGCAGCTCCAGAGTTGTTTGACTTCTCTGTGAGAAATTTTGAGGAACTCCCTCAACATTTGAAAGTCCTGTATGAGGCAACAGCTTAGCCTTCAAATTGTTTCCTGGTATTGATTTAAATCTATCACAAAATAAATTTTCAGTTTTATGTAATGGATGATTAAGGCCTTAAGAAATGCAAGAAAGAATCGTAAACCTACAAAAATACAATTTTTAAGCCTAGAAAATTAGTCTGAAATATTTTACCCCAAAGCACATGAAAAGGTTTAATTTACTAAAATTATAAAAAAAAAAAAATAGCCTGATAACCTGGGTGTAGTCTTTTTGTTGTGTTGGGATAAATGTGCAGCAGAAAAACTAACACAGAATTTAAAAGACCATCGTATATATATTTAAAAAAGAACCCAGTCATGTTGGGTAAAATTTCAAAATGTTGACACTTATAGTATAGGTCTGTAAATTGTCAGCTTTGAGCTCTGATTTTCTGTTTTTAAGATGAAGATTGGGTTTGTTCTTTACAGTCTACTGTATATATTGTAAGCTATAATATTGTTTAAAAGGTGTAAAGTAACTATGATGAATGCATCTAAAAGTCATGTTGACTTCCAAGCAATAATTTTTTTTTTTTATCTTCAGTTGGCGACTAGAAGAGACTTAAATGTAAATGGTTTTGTAATGTGAACACAGTCCAACAAGGCTGTGTTACGATTTAAAATACTTTCAGGTCATTTTATATGATTTAAGGTTGAGATGTAATTTTATGTGTAATAAATATGATTTTAAAAAGCTTTTCTTGTGTCTGATGTCCCATGTCCTATTATTTATAAATCCTATTTTGTATATCCTAATATTTGACTCCATATATAAGTCATACTTTAAATAAAAAAAAAGTCAATTAAATATTTATCAAGCTTAAAACAGCCAAATAATATTTTTAAGGCTAAAAAAGGGAACCTTTTCTCTGACCTTAATTTAGTTCACGCATCTGACCTCTAGATGGCGACGTTGAGACGCAGCTGCTTTGCGCGGATGATTGGGAGCTTTGAGCCTCTGGAGCCTCCGTAGATCAAAGCTGCCCTCTGTTTTGAGAAAATTGTACTGCTAATTGGCTTTAGCTGACTGTGTCGCTGTTAGAGCACTGCTGTAATGAGAAGTCATTAGTTTTCTGACACTGAAGAGTTGAAAGAGGCAAACAGCCCGTCGGTGGCCAGGCGGCTATATTCTAAACACATAGCCCCGGGTAGCTAGTTTTCTGCTGCTAGTCAAGCTAACAAGGTAACCTGTCATTTTTATCCAGCGGGGGGGGAAAAACCTGCATCCTCTCTTCCGTGTGTGCTTCCGCCATCAGTATTTATTTAGTTTCTGTTCAGCTTTAGGTGAATGACGCTCAATGATCCAGTCCGGGTGATGGCTTTGACTCAGAGATGACCTACAGCTTCTGACCCACAGGAAGTCTCGCCATTTGTCACCGAGATTCAAGGCATGTTCTGCTGCTCTCATCTCACATGTGCAGTTAACGGTGATGTGCACAGATTGGTGACTGTTGTGTTTGTGTTGAGCAGCTGAGAGCTTCACACAGGCTGACTCATGCTTTCTGATGAGCTGGACTCCAAACCAGAGGTAACACTTTTTAGTGATATAACAGCCAGGCTTGAAGCTTTGCATTGCTATACTATGGTTGTAATGATGGTTGCTTGCTGTTTTTTCCCCCCTTGTTAGCTGCTGGTGCAGTTTGTCCAGAACGCCTCCATCCCATTGGTGCAAAGTCTGGAGGACTCTGAATGCAAACACCCCTGCCTGCCTCTGCTGGCCCCAGCTGACAGCTCCCTCTGCACCCCTCTGGAGCTCACAGGTAGGTTGGTGCAGTTTCACAGCTTCCTCTCACTGATGGACACAATGGCGTAACTATCGGTAAGGGGAGACTGCTGTTGCTTAAGGGGCCCAGATGTTCCAGAAGCTGCAGCCTGGGGGAACATGCAGGAATTCGAAGCCAGGTAAACAAATCAGAAAAGGAACAGGCAGGCTTAGAGATCCAGGAGTCCAAAGACGGTTCAGGCAAACCATTCGGACAGGAACAGGCAGACTCAGTGGTTGAGAGGCAGAACAGGTCAGGATAAGGAAATCAGAAACACCAAGGAACTTTAAAACACCCTCACCACTGGCATGAAAGAACAACACTAATCTGGCACTGATGACTGGATGCAAGCAACTTAAATAGAGGCAAGAGCAGGTGGATTAGATGAGAAGTAATGAGAAACCGGGCAGAATTAAACAGGTGAATGAAATGAGTAATTAAGCATGTCATCAGCGCAAAGATCATAACAGCATCAAATTTAAAGTGTGTGCTTTAACTATGCCATCTATAAACATTTCATATTGTTTGTTGAACTACTCAGAGCCTTTTGGATTGCTGTCATTCAGCATAACCCAAACTTGCTCAAATTTAAAGACACAAACTGCTAGACTATTTTTCTCCATCAGGACTTTTCATGTTAATCTTTAGGGCCACCTGGTTGTCCCTCTATGCAATAGTGGACTAGGACGTCTCTGCAGATGTAATGGTGCGAAAATTTCCTCTTAAACCCACCTGATGATAGAGTGATTGATTGGACCTTATTTATACCGCAACACATGTCAGATTTCAACTTGATGGTGAGTCGTTTAAACATGACACAGTGGTACTTTTAATTACTATGTTAATAACTGTGTATAGTTAATTAGACGGTGGGTAAAAAAATACACTCATATAATATGTTTCAAACCGCAATCAAAGCTCTTAAGATCTTAAAAGAACAATTTATTTGAGTATTTTATTTTTTGCAATGCGACTTGGAATTATGGGTAATCCAAAGCGTAGATTAAAACCATAACCGTTACATGTTATGTGTTAGCGACGATGGATGCCAAAAAGAGGTACTTAAGCGGATTCCAGGAAAGAAAAAGTAAAGAAGAGCTGCTGGAAGAACGGAAAAAAACTCCCCAAAATAATGAGTGAGTGAAGACTGCGACCAGGAGATGAAAGGAGAGAGGCGAGTTGTGTCCTTACGCCATTGGATGGACATGTTTTCAAATGTGAGAGAATCACTGTGATGCACGATATTAACAGTTTCAACCGAAAAGGCTGGTTTTCGAGCGCTATAAATTTCATCACTTTGTCTTTAATAGCTTTAGCTTTTATACTGTCTGTAGAAAAGTTTTACAGCTTTCAAAAGCCTTGTCAATGGAGACATCTGTCCTCCACATTGTTGCTTTGTATTCTTCCCATATTGCTTTACCACAATGACAATTTTTAAGGTGAGCTATTCATTTTATAGTGTTAAAACCTGAAGCCTTCTTTCCTCTCTCAGAATTCTTGCTGAACAGTTTGGAAACAGAGTAAAAAAAACCACACTAGTTCATTAACAGTCAGGTAATGAAGGAGCCACGCTTGGGTCCTGCTAGTAAGGTGCATAAGACCCGCTTTGGGGCTGCTCTGCCTGTATAAAACTACACCAAATTTAATTGATTTATCAGCAAATTTTGAACGAAAAAATGTGCGTATCTGGCCGTTTAAAATTCAGCCAAATTGGCCGATATTTTATCGGTCTGATAAATCTTTTTAATCCCTAATTGTTTTCCATGAATCACAATTATTTTAGCTATAAAATACCCCACTGTACACCTGAAACTTTTTTTTTTTTACAGTCTCATGTGTCCAGTGAGAAGATAAATGCAGATTGTTGAAATTGTAAATGCACATTTATGTTGCGTTTGCACAACTGTACAAAAAAATAATCGGCAGACTTCAACGTTATTAGAAGGTTAGTGTTAGAAGGTAGCAATGTATTCACCAACAAAAAATGAGACCTAAAGATAAGAGATTCATTAAAGTTTCCTTATCTTTCTGGGATGTTAATGGTGGAAAAATAAAGAAAGATTATAACAAGATAATCTACATTTGCTGGAATATAAAATGCTTATATTTCTGCTCCATTTCAAATTAAACTGAACGTCACCCATTCTTCTCTATTTTCTCATATACACATAACTTGCTGTTCAGTCATAGAACTTTTATTTTCAATCTGTTTTGAATCCAACATGTGTATAAAGGCCTTTGGGGGGGTTTAAAACTTAGCTACTGTTCTGGATCTTTGTTGTATCGTCACTATCATAGATTTCTGCCGTTAGTTCTGAGAAAAAGTTACTGAGTTGATGCTTTAGAGAATCGCAGTCAAGCCGGAGAGCATTTTCCTTAATTTCAGGTGCAGCGGAGCATCGCTGCACTAGTGATGTGGTCTGAGAGTGTTAGAAAAAATGGTAAATGTGCCTTTTTGTCGTGTCTGTTTTTAGGGAACCATAATAGGAGTTGGTTTACATTTCAGTTTATTCAGTAAGAGGATCTGCTCTTTGTCTGCATCCCTGCAGCGACAACATATTGCTCACCCTCCCATCCTTTTCATCAGGGCCATCTAGTGCCGGTCTAATGAGCTCCTACTGAGAGAAGCACCGTCTTTTTTTGCTTAAAATGTAATTGTGGAAATTCCTTTAAGCTTTTTAAAGCAATAAATATTTTATTTTTATCAGGGCGTGACCTTCTCATATGGGTTACAGTTTACCTGTATTATACATGCAGGTAACGTGAAGGTTTAACGTTATTCTACGTTTCAGATCTGTAATCTAGAAGAGGTGCAATCTTCCTGGGTTTGTTATTTCATAAATCTGTCTGGCTTTTAAATGTCTTAGCAGGCTAATCCCAGAGGTGTTTTAGTCTAATATTTAATGTTTGTGCGTTTAGCAGACTCTTTTATCCAAAGCGACTTACAAAGTAGACACAGTTTTATAGTTCTCATCAAATGACAATAAGTTCTCTAGAGGGAAGCCCCTAGTCAGAATGAGCGGTGACAGCAGAGAGATAGAAGAAAGTGGAGGGGTACAGAGCTATGGGTAAAAGTTAGGATAGGAGATGCTCTTTGAAGAGGTGGGTTTTTACGTGTTTCATAAAGATAGAAAGGGATGCTTCTGTTTTTGTAGCGATTGGTAGGTCATTCCACCATCTTGGAACACATGAAAACAGTCTGGATTGTCTTAAGCGTGGTGCAGGCACTGCTAGATAACAATCCATTGCTGATCAAGTTGTGACATTAGCCTTTGCTAGAGGGTTCAAGTAGATGGGAGCCGTACCCTTAAGCACTTTGCAGGCTAGCATCAGGGACTTGGATCTGATGCTGGCAGACAGGGGTAACCAGTGAAGCTCAATGAACAGAGGGGTGATGTGAGACTTTTTGGACTGATTGAAGACCAGACGCACCGCTGCGTTCTGGATTATTTGTAACGGTGTATTATTAAATTTAGGCAGGATTGGGATGAGTCTTTCATAAAGATGACATACAGATACACACACAAGCACTTTGTCTGCTGGAGTAAAATGTATTGTTTCATTCCGCCAGAGAAAACAGCAAAGCAAGCACATCAATCAAGGCCGGTGCTGAATACAAATTATATTGTTCCAATACAAATTATATTGTCCCCCTTACGGTGACACAAAGGATCGGAGAGCCAGTCGACCCCAGCAGGGCAGCAACCCGCGCAGCTAGGCGTTCGTACGCAACCCTAGCAGACTCTACCAGTGCCAACCGCCACCCGTCATTTATGCCAAACTTCAAAGGAAAGTCTGTCACCCAATCAGGAAAATGATCGCTCCCTCTCACGCCTGGAGCACATGATTACAAAAACCAAAATATGTTTCCGGCATCCCCTGAACCCACCCAGGGCTCGTGGACAGCCGAAACCAAAAACAAGTTACGTTATGCTCAGAGCATGGCACCAAGAGCTCGTGAGTACAAAAACAAATTATATCATGCTCTCAATGACACAGAAACTTAGATAATGAGAGTGCTTAGGTAATAGGAGTGCTTCATTTGTGAAAACTTGTATAATAAAAGTGACAAAACTTGTATGATTGTCAAAGAACATAAAATATAAAACCCATATATATATCAAACGGTTTTACAGCACAGGCTGAGAGGCCAGTCAGGAGCGTGTTAATAGACTGCACCAGGGGCTGGGCAGCATGTTGGGTTATGTATGGCCGGATCTTTATTATGTTTAATAGAGTGAAGCGACAAGATCCAGAAACGCAGGTTTAATGATGGCGAGCAATGCCTCAGACGGAAACTATAATCAGATAAAATACAAAACAACCTTTAATGAATTCCTTCATTTAAAGAGCCCAGATCTGGAGCAGTTTGCCTCTAGTAATAAACTAACTTTTTAATTTGTTTTTACATCCCAACTGAGGAAAAAAAAAAATTTTATATATATATATATATATGTAGTCACACCTCTGGAGGATTGAATGTTTTAATTTCAGTAGAAATGATTATTCATACTTGAAAGTGATAGAGGGAATTTAAGGTTAGGGACATGTCCAGGAGGCCCCATATCTTAATGACTTATTACTAAGGAAAAATGGTCCAAAACGGCAGTGGAAAACATTAAATCAGCTGTTAAGCAACATTAGCCCTGACCCTATACCAATTTATGATACATGCATGTTTTACCTTTCTTTCAGAAACAGAAAGGCCTCAAAATGTTATGTTTTTTAAGCAGCTCAAAATGTTTTCCTCCTGATTATGGATGCTTGCAAATGGAGTATAGTAGCCTTCTTTCAGCCAGCTGAGTGACAGTGCACTGCAACACTTAAGGCTCTGACCTTAAAATCCTTTTAAACTCATTAACATCACTTCAAAGCACACTATTGCAGTATTTTTAATACTTTATTTTTAATATTTTAGTCATTTTAGAAATACACATACATACATTGAACAGAAATTACAGAATAACTAGTTTGACAGACGCACAAACTAAAAAAAGGACATTTACTTTAGTGATACAGTCGGTGTCAAGCTCCAGAGAGCCTTCCATTTCTTCCAGTATTTATTTTATTTATAAGTGGCAAATCTTAATGAAAAAGTCAGTCTCTCCATTGCATGAAATTCCTCAATGATGTTCTTCCAGTCCAAACAGAATAGTTGTTCCACATCAAACCACCTGCAGGTTATAGCTTTGTTTGCACCTGCTAATAATATTAATAGGAGATACCAGTCAGCCTTCTTTAGTTCCTGAGGAAGATTACTGAGGAAAACCACAGTAAAAAAACTGCATAGATTCAAGTCCATTTTACTGATTATTTCTTTTATTAGTTCTGACCAATAGGGTGGGATCCTAATACATTCCCAGGAGATATGAAAATGTCTTGCAGACATATTCCCACAATTACTCCTTTTTGCCTTTTCAATGTTTTTAAAATGTTAATTTTTAATGTTGGGTGTAATAAAAAAAAAAAACGCACCATGCATTTCCAGGAAAATTCCTTCCAAAGTCTGTAACTTAACGTGTGAATCACAGAATTGCACATATTTAACCAAACATCATCAGCTATTGCTGTTTTGGCTTCTTTTTCCCATTTAATCTTAAAATACGTTGTATTAGCCCTGGTAGACATGAATATATATACGTTTTCTGTCATGCTCATCCCTGCTGGGGTTGTGAGGGGCGCTGGTGACAATCTCCAGCTGTCTATGGGCGAGAGGCGGCAGTATAATTTGGATATTGTTTTTTTTTATTTTGAAGGTCTTCCAGTGCTCGGATCTATACCTGTCTGATCCTCCTTCAAAAATGATATACTTTTATTGGCACAGGAATAGTTTTGATGAAATATATTTTATTTTTAAAAACTTTAAGCAGGAACCAGCCCATCGCAGATGATGTTGATTTCTGTGTTTATTGCAAACATTGGTCCACGGTTGAAATATATTTCCTATCGCTTTAAATGTTCAAATCCATGGTGAAATAACATCAACAGCTTGTGTTTGTTGTGTAATTGTTTCCCAGATGGCGGCCTGAGCCACGAGCCGGACTCTTCTCCCACGTTGCCAGACTTTGGTGGCGTCCCACAACAGAGCCCGTTAGTGGTCCAGTCCCACCAGCCGCCGCAGGCGTCGCCGAGCCCCCCGGCCATTCTGCACGACTTACAGCAGCCGGACAGCACATCCTACGTCCTCCTGAATCTCGCCAAAGGTGGAACTGCTGCGAACATCGCTCTGTTTACTGCTCTCTTAATTCGATTATTAAAAAAATTCTTTTCAATCTGCGTTTGTGACTGCAATGTTCTTCTGATGTCACTGATTGTTTCCCAGCTTCATTTTTAGACTTTGGAGAAGAAAAACAGAAAGTTCAGTTCTAAGACTGTTTGTGAATTTATCATCAGAGGCTTCAACAGGCAATAAAAGATTAACAATGGAATAAATAATAAAAGTAATACTTGGCTTCGGTCCATATCCGGAGAAAACAAGTTCCACAGCAGAAGCTGGAACCGTGTTTTTGTGTTTTATTTTCTCAGCTCAGCAGAGAAACGAGGTGACATATTTTTATGAAATAAAAAGCAGAATAAATTTGGCAAGTGTGTTCTCTAAGTTTATTAGCCCTTGGCAGGAGTTTACAACATGCACTTTATTCCTGTGTCTGTTTCTTCTACTGGGTTTAAATTTAGAGCTCTGACCTAGAACGATTGAAGCAAATTATCTCATCAAATCTGCTTTTTTAATATCTTTCTGATTCTCTTATTTATCCTCCACTCTCAGGAATCACAGCCTCCTCCGAGTCCCTGATCTTTGCTGCCGACGGTGCTGGAGACGATGAAGATGAAGGGGTTTCTTCAGGAAGCTACGGGATAGACGGGGCCGCGCCGTGGTATCTGAGAGTCCAGGAGCTGGCGCATGACAGCCTCATTGCAGCGACCCGGGCGCAGCTGGCCAGAGACGCAAAGGCCAGCCAGGACGCCAGAGCTGCAAGTGTCGGGAACGGTGAGGCGAATTTATGCAGGAACGAATACCAGACAGAACGTTCTGATGATAATCATTAGTAGGGCTAAAACAATCATGAGTAATTGATTATTGAAATAAAAGTGAAATAATTTAGTAATTGATTAATGATTAATTAGAGTATAGAGACTCTAAAACATGCCTTTACCTGACAGAGCGACCCACCTAGAGCAGTAATTATAAGAAAATTGTAAAAATACATATCAATAGTGGAAAAGTTTCACTTTCACCTGGTTTGATTCTGTAGAAAATCTTTAAGGATCCGATTATTAATCTAAAAGTAATCGACAGATTAATCAGCAGCCCTAATCATTAGTTATTATTAGTCTGGAGTTAGAAACAAAAGCAAAAATCAGCTGGGCTGCTTCAGCTCAGGCATCTAAGCCTGAATAGAAATGAGGTCAGGGAGATGAAAATGTTGTATAATCAGCTTAACACTTGTCATCATAAGACTCTAAATCAGAGAAAACGTGTCCCCCGACTCTTGATGGTTTTATCAGTTTGACAGCAAACATCCTCCGGACTTGTAAATATCAAAACATTGATCATCAAGTTCTGCATATAGTCGGATTTATTAAGAGTATTATAATGAAATATGTGTAATTGAACCTTTTATTTACTTTTTAAGAACTTAAATCATACCATATATACTTCATTTAAGCTTTTTAACCTCATTCTGGATTCTCAAGCCATAAAAAACACCTTATTTAGTCCAACATAAGCCCTGCGTGTAGATATTAGGTGAACAGTTTTTAGAGAAATGGTTTAAGGTTTTTTTTATTAAAGTGGGCATGAAAGCACGTGATGGACCGGGAGATCGATAGGCGGATTGGTGCTGCGTCTTGCTGTGAAGCTGATGCCGTACAGGTCCATTGTGGTGAAGAGAGAGCTGAGCAAAAAGGCAAAGCTCTCGATTTACCGGTCGATCTAAGTTTCTACCCTCCTCTATGGTCATGAGGTTTGGGTCATCGCCAAAAGAACAAGATCCCGGATACAAGCGGCTGAAATGAGTTTTTTCCATCGTGTGTCTGGGCTCTCCTTTAGAGATAGGGTGAGGAAGTCAGAGAGGAGCCAGTTGAGGTGGCTCGGGCATCTGGTTAGGAGGCTCCTAGACCGCTGCCTGGTGAGGTGAGGCCCAGGGGGAGACCCAGGACACGTTTGAGGGAGTGTGTTTCTTGGATGGAACACCTTGCATTGTCAGCAGGAAACAACACAGCTAAAACTGAGGAATGAAACCAACAAGAAGGAGGAAAATGGTCTCACTATGATGCAGTTGAAGCTTCTATTAACCTTATTTCACCTCTGGCTGTTTTTCTGAAACATGCAAGACAGAGAAGAACTGTGAGGGGAGGGAGTTTTAACAAAAGTTAGACCCATTATAAACTGGCTTTTCTTTCAGAATTCATGAAGCCCATAAAGTTGTTGAAATAAACTCCAGTGTAAAAGAATGATGTCGCCGCTGACTAACTGCTGCTATCAAACAGTGTTTACGCTCTCTTTCTCCAATTTGAAGCATTATCTATTATTTATGGCGATATCAGTCCGTGCATTCATCTCCTCTAGCTGCGAAGCTTCTTCTTTGATTTGAAACAGACCTTCAAGTCTTGCAGCACTCAGTGTCGTTGCAGCCTATTGACTCACACCACGAGTCAGCACTTCATTGCAAACCCTGCTCTGCTGCCTCCACAGGCTGCTGTTGAGAGAATTTACCCATGACATTTGGGGCATTATGACTCCCAGCCTCATGTCTGGTCTTTGAACACCTCCTGAGTCAGACTGTGGCTGCAGGTGGAGGCTGAAACGTAACAAATTGGGGAGTTTTCATCACAAACTTGGATGTTGCTTTTTAAGGTTTGTGATCATTTCCACAGAAAGTAGAGAATTAAAACGCATGCCTTGTTTCTGATTGGTATTTGTTTACCTCTTGCTTTGCATGCATGCAATTTAAATGCCTTAACCTTTAAATTAAAAGAGCAGAATTGGGAGACAGCTGAGTGTAAGTTAAGGAAGAAAATGTAACTTTTTTTTAATATTGTCCTCCAACATTTTATGCAGTTCTAATTTTTACATGAGATTAAAGACTTAAAATTACAAGGATAGTTCAAAAGATTTGTACATCAATAAAAAATTCAACATTTCCTTCACTAATTTCAGAGAGAAGGACTCATATGTTAGATTCATTACATAGAATCCTTTATTTCAGTTGAATTTTAATCATCGTAGCTTACAGACGTAATAAAAACAGCTAAATCAGTGTCTCAGAAAATGTGAATATTTTGAAAAACTATAAAAAAAAGTGCTGTTAAATGAACGCACTTTTGAAAGCGTAATATTGCTGTTTAAAATATCCATTTATTGTTGATCTATTGGTTTTATTCTAATTTATAGAAACACTGTAATTGTTGTCATCTGTTAGCTATAGTTACCAAAGTAATCAGAAAAAGCTCCAAAATATTTTCCTTCGTGTAATGAGGAACTAAATTGGACACTTGTTTTGTGCTATCACATTTTTTTTTAAAGGTGTACCTGTGTACCAAACCATCTGTGATGCTTTTTGTTTTGCAGTGAGGAGCTGAAAACTGCCCGTTCCAAGCTGCTGTAATTGATGCCCTCCCACTAGCTTGCATCACATTAGACAAGTTCCCATCAGCTATAAGCGCATTGCTGCCGGCTCGTCATTGGCTGAAACGGGGGGGCTGTTAACGCTGTTCGAAGCGGGGAGTCCGGTCCGGCTAAAAGGGAATGATTGCATTCAGCTTTGAATTGTTTTCTTTTCCCTGCAGCTGTGCAGCGATTCGCAGTCGGTAGCCGGTGATTTTATAGAGCCGGGGCTCCAGAGGCCGGCCACCTTGCACTCGTGGCTTGATTACTGCATGGCCCCGCTCACGCTCTCCTCTTTCTGGTTGCCTAGGTGACCACACACACAGCTTGATCGAGGACGGAGAGAAGCGGGAGCTGCCGTCTCGGGCCGGCCGCCCTCTCTCCAAACAGATTCTGCGCTGCTCGTTTGAGGGCTGCAGCAGGACGTTCACCTGGCCGGCTCATCTTAAATATCACCTCAAAACGCACAGGTAACCCTGCAGAGAGGAGCTGTTTAAACAGCAAAACCTGGGGTTTCATCTTATAGGTGTCAGGATCTGGTTGTGGTTTAGAGCACACATCCCCAACCTCGGTCCTCCAGGGCCGCTGTCCTGCAGGTTTTAGAGGTTTCCCTGCTTTAGCACAGCTGATTTGAATTGAGAGCTGATTAACATGCTTTTGGTCTACTGCAGTCATTATAATCAGCTGTGCTAAAGCAGGGAAACCTCTAAAACCTGCAGGACAGCGGGCCTCGAGGACTGAGGTTGGGGATGCCTGGTTTAGAGGACACAAATGCAGAGGCTGAGGCAGAGGTGACTTCTTGCAGTTTTAATTAGTAAACAAAAACAATTGAGGAAAGAATCCAAAAATCCAACTAAAAATGTTACCAAACCAAAAACCATGGAGATATCAGGGGAAACTGAGCACGAGGAGCCAGGGAGAGATGAGGTAGGAAGACAACAGCAACGAGGAACCAGCAAAGAGTGACAGTAGAGGGAGAGATTATATGGCTGACTGAACAAAGGTAGGGATAACGAGCGGATAAGGAACAGGTGTGAGTGGAGGGCAGTCTAGGAAGGAGCTAGGGAAAAGGAGACCAATGCAAGAGGGCAACAAATAAAAACCAAAGAACTTGTATATCCAGAAAATACAACAAAGGCTACATTCACATTGCAGCCTGAAGTGACCCAAATCTGATTTTTTTGCCCATATGCGACCTGGATCTGATCTTTTCATGGGGTTCCCGGGGGTCC